CCGCGCGCCGACCGCCTTGCGCGCACCGGCTGCGCAGGGGTGGGCGCGTCGCTGGTGGAGCATTCTGGCCGTCGCGGTCCAGCGTGCTGTCTGCAGTGCTGTGCTGGGCACTTGGAGCATGCCGGCGATCCCGGCAGACGCCGACTCCATCCCTTTGGCAGGCGTCTTGGACCTGGCTGATGCCGCGCTGCCAAGTCGGCTGCCACTGCGCGAGATAGCGCTAGGCAAGAGTGGTGCGCCGAATGGGGCTGCCCGCTCAAGCGCGCATTGCCGGTAAGGGGAGCGGGGACCAGGACGGGATTCATGGCGAGGAAAAAGGTGCGGAAGAAAAAAAAAAAAGAAGACTTCTAGGGAAATGACACATGTTCTTGGTAAATTCAATAACGCACACCGTACCGAGTGTTTTCGGAAACTGCCTGTGCGTGTAAAGGCGTTGGGATATGTCAGACGTCAGGGCTTAGGGCTGAGGGTGTAGGGGTACTTGGCGGAATCATGCACGTGTGCTGGTATAAGTTTATTAGACGGAGGATTGGCTTCAACAGCACGAGCAACATCAAGACCAAACCATGAACATATAAGAAATGGATAGCAACACGTGTCTGATGTTTGGCTCAAGTTTTTTTGGGCGCGGACGCTGCTGAAAAGCGCGTTCAGGCCCTTGCCTATAGACCAAGCAATTGCGCTTGGTATTCAGCTTATTGTAGTTCGTCATGGCCCACATGAGTTGGCTTATGTTCGCAACAGCGTCCCTCGGCAACTTTGTCAGTAATTTGCACATTTTCGTCATAGTTCGCTCATTCTACACCCACATGACGCTGGAGACATTCTTGCAATCAGGTGCGCTGCTTGCTTCCTTCCTACGTACTGTGGCTCGTCCAAGTTCCAGTGAAGCTGCATTTTCTGGAATTCGCAGCATTCTTGCGCCGTTTGGAAAGTTATGAAATTACGTCGTCAGGTTATAGGATGTTATAGGATTCTAATGCATAAATTGGTTTAGAGCGACCCAATCTGGGATGCACAACAAGGCCGAATCGCCAATGCAGCCAATAGCCGTCTGGCGACTGATTCGTCCCTTCAAGTTAGTGATGGAGTTGCCCGAACAGGCTTGCATGCTTCGCATTCGGCCACCAGGATGCAACAATTGGCGCGTGCTTGTTTGCAGGTTGAATTGCCACTGACGTTTTAACCACACAGGCACCCTACTCCTGTTTGCATGATCAGAAGTCACGCCGAAAAAATTGCCACAGCAGATGTGAGGTGATCTTGAAGCGTGCCAACATCTCAGCATCCGAGAAAATGAAGCACATCAAGGAGGCTATGACTGGCAAGACCGATTCCTTCAGCCGGGTTGTCCACAAAACAGCGCACCTCATTACAATTTGTGTGCGTGTGCCCTTTCTCAGGCGTTCACCGCATGTGTGCAATTTGCATGGCCAACGCTCACCCATGCGGGCTTCAAAGTCTTTAGCAGAAAATTGCTGGGAACTTGTCAGAACACATGGTCATTTTGGGTGGTGCGTGACGGCGAGACGTTTGTTTTATTCCTTTTGTTGGTCATCCAAGATATTTACACAGCCATGATTCTGAGACATCTTGTGCAAGGTATTATGGCAACATCCACATTGGGTCGCCAGCTCAAACCGTGACCGTGGTGTTTGATACAGGCCTGGGCATCAGCTTCACTTGTCCCTGGCAGGCTTGAAGAGAGCTGAGAGAGTTGCAGCATGATTCCGCAATGCGGGGATTCCGCATGGTGACCCAGCACAGTAAGCATTTGTGCGGTTTTTTTGTATTACGCAGCCTTGTCTGGACTTGAAGCAAACGCAAAAAGGAAGCAACGAGCCGAGTTGTCGGCCCCACAAATTTGTGGAACACATTGTCCAATGCTTCTTGTAGAGTGCACGCTACCATGCAGGCAGCGGCAACCTAATGGTTCCATCCACGTTGTGCGGGGATTCCGCATGTCTCAGGCAGGGATAATTTCTGCGCAGGGTTGGTGTTCCGAGGCGGTGTAAGGGTCTTTGCTTGTGGAGTTTTTCGTTGGGGTTTGGAATGTGCGGTCAAAAGTGTAGTTGAACCTGCTTCGGCAGGGCAATGTATATGCAGGTCCCATGGAAACAGGCGCTTCTACTTGTGGTGATAGCCTTCAAACATGGCATGCGCGCACAAAAATTGTGTCAACCTGGCAAGGCACAAACGGTTTGACCCCGCCCGTTCTGCAACGGTGGTGCAGCTGGACACAATCATTGTTGCAATATGGTGAAAAAGGGTTTTGACGTGGTGTGGGAGGGCAAGGGCTAAGGGATCCAATTCCACAAATGGCCAATGAGCACGTCAAGTAAGTGTGGGCTTCCGCGGAGGTGTTCAAGTAATGTTGTGCGGCATGTGCAGAGGAAGAGTTTCATTTCTTTACCCAACCACGCTGTCGGCGGAAGGGTTTTAAATTTGCTACTGAGCTTGGTCTTGGGTTCCATCCAAGGTTGAGGAATACACCATAGCAACGCCCATTGTATAACTGCCTAGTCGGGAGTGTAATGTAAGCCTTGCAGATGAGGAGGTGGTGCTGCTGTCGGTGTCGGCAGCAGAGATGGTAAAAGCAGACCGAAAACAACAGCACGAGTTGCTCTAGCCGAAGAAACGATCAGAGCAGCAGGAATCAGCAGCTGGGGAGGATCAACAAAGCACCAAGAAAATCACATTGCGACCGCAGCGGGGGGAACATTAAAGGTGTCCGTCCCATTTGCCACGCTTGCTTCACTTGTCACACTTGGCCCGCTTGCCGAGTGGGGCAAGTGGGGCAGGGGTCGCTCAGGTGGCTTGTCAGGTTTCGGAGCAGGAGTTGAGGGCGTTGATGGGGGCAGAAGTGGGGCAAGGGGCGAGTGGGGCAGGGGCTCGTTTTTGGGCCCTCATGGGGGGAGAAGTGGGGCCAGGATTCGTTTTGGGGCCTCAAGTGGCTTGTCTGGCGGTGAAGTGGGGCAAGTGACAGCGGACCCTTCATCCCCCCCAATGATCCCGATGCCGACACTCTCGATAATCGCAGCGGACGAATCCTAGAAGAGCTTGTCCTTGCATTTCATGATCCTGACCCCCCACGAGACTCCAAACTTCAAATAATTCAAATGCCATTACTACGCGTCATGTATCCCAAGATGCTTTTGTATTCCTTTTCATCTCCCGAGATATAGAAGGATAGCGAAAAATCTCATATCCCTCTTTACTTCTCTACATCCGCAGGTTTCCTAGTACATCTGAAGATATCCCTAGATATCCCAATAGCCACCCGAGAATTTTAGACATGGCTATATACCCTTTTATCGCCCCCAGAAATCCCTATATGTCCCTTATATGTCCCCATATGCCCGTTATTGCCCATTTATGCCACTACGTCTTTTTTATTCCTGCCCCATAAAATGAAAAAGCCTGGCCCTCTCCAGAACATGAGGAGGGTAAGCGCTGCAGAAGATGAAATGGAAGCTGGGGTTATCTACGAGATGAACTGTAGAACCCTGAAGACCTGAAGAATCACCAGCATTATACCTGTGTAACCCACAGATAACTATACCCATTCTTGTTTTGGCCGCCACAGAAACAACCCCTCTCCGAAGTTCCTTCAGGCTCTTTAAGGCTTCCCAAAACTTCGCACGGCTCACTGTTGCGCATCCATGAACTTTGAACTTTGTGAATTTGAGATACCTGAGGAGTCTAAGATATCTCAAGATTCTACGCCACCCAAGCCCAACTGTTGTAAGTGTTGCCGCAACGCTCGGGGTTCATCAATCCCATCATGTGCCTGTACGGATTCATGGGTACAATTGTGCAACTCTTACGCCAAGGGCCCTAAACTATGCAGGTGTACTAAATTTTCCCAGGAACATGCAGTCGGATGGTCGCGCAGCTGGTCCCCATGATCAGCGCGATCAGTTGACCGTCACCTTCGGTACTGGAGAGTAACCGGCCTTAAAGGATGAAGGCTTTAGGGCACTGAGGGTGGTTAGGGTTTAGGTTTCAGGGTTAAGGGTTTAGGGTTCAGGGTTTAGGTATAGGGGTTTTAGGAGTTATGATATCTATGAAGGCTGTAGGGCATGGAGGGTGGTTAGAGCATTTAATTTCGGAATATTTTCATTGATTATGGTACGGAGTAGTTCGGGCGTATGGAACTCTAGTCCCACATTTTTATGGGCCCGTTCTGTCCCAGATACTTCATTGGGATGAAACCCGGCCCGGAAGCTTATTTTTGCTTTAGATTTACCCCCAAGGCCGACATTCCTAACTTGTTTACTCACCCAAATCTGCATGTTTTATATGTTTACCTTCTCTCTCACAGGTACTCCGTGCACAGATCCATCATAAGCTTCATGTTAGCAAACATTCCCACAAGGATGCTACTACTATATATGAGATGTGCAAGACCGCGCCCGACTTCACCCCGAATGATGGTTTAGATTTCAACCCGAATTGGTTCAATTTCAGGGTCTGAATCGTTATAGAACTGCTAGTATTAGGGTCCCTTAAAAAAAGCGGCTTCCCCTCATCCCCAGCCTCCTAAAATATAAATCCTAAGTCCTAAGCCCTCAAGCCTCAACCCTATGAGGGAGGCAAGCTCCGGGCTCTAATAAGGCTTGGTTGGTCTTAGGTCTAAACAGTTTTAGATGTCGTGTCACAGCCCGATGCGTATCATAGGGGCGACAGAACTGCATTGTTGTTCTTCCCTGAACTTAGTGTATCATATATATATATGCCCCAAAGCCATGTTCCACACTGGCATTGCTGGATACGTAAGCCCAAAAGTTAAACCCCATGAACTTTTAAGACAGAGGCATTCATTGTTGGAACCCACCCAGATACCTGGAGCTGTGGCCCCAAGGATCACAGGCGTCTTCCTGAAGGATGATGTTTGCATCGGCGGCTTGTCCATCTACTTGGCAGGCAATAACAAGCATAAAGTGTTGCCACAATACTTCGTGGTCTTGGCAATTGGGATCCCGTCTTGTGGGGTATAGACGGCCTTATTCAGCGACGATCTGAGTGCATGGGAGCATACAAAGCCACCACCCAGGGGATCAAATTGGATTGGGAATCTCAACCTGCAACATGAAGAATTCATAGTTTTCATATGGCATGGACTCTTTGATCGTGGCCTTGGCGACCCGACATCCCGATGAACCCCAACATTCCTAGAAAGAGCGCGCAGCAAATGGAGCGCTAAGTGCCTGCATGTATGTGGGGACTTGCAACTGGTAGATGGAAATGGGACCCTGTACAGCCCTTTGCAGAGATTTTCCACAAGACGTCAGTCCGAAAGAGGCCCGTTTCGGGTTGGCGTATCCTAATTTTTTCTGGGGTCTCCTAGTATTGTGCCTGTTGCGTGCAGTCCCCTAACTGTTCTTCAGTCATTGCGCTGTTCCTGTCCCGGTGCTTCTTGTTGATAGTAAGAATCTTGCAGACATCTCAGTTCCTTGCACACAGGGAGTCTTGGTAGATTAGTATCATAAGGTCATGCGGGCTTTTGGGTATCCACCGTTCTGACTTAGGAAACTTGTGCGCAAACATGGAATTCATCGGTGCATCCCACGAGACTGAGGACAGATACCATCAGGGTTTAGGGGAGCAGAATTTGGTGTGTCCAACAACAAGGGAATACTGGGATCATATAGGGGTTGTATAGGGATTAGGGTTTCCGAAATAATGGACACCTTTTTTTCTTTAGGCATGGTGGGTCCATTTTGGGATCTACATATTTTTGTGTGATGCATCTTTTGGGATTGGTGCTTAGGATTTAGCATCGTGCTAGAGGAACGAACCTAGACTCGTGGGACCAAACATGCGGTAGTCATTTCTATTATGAAATAGCTTGTAAGCACGTCCATTCAAACAGCTTTCATGTAGAGGCCTGAACCAGTAGCAGTACTGTCCCCGTGTTCCACCCAGACCCTCTAAGCTTTGGCCCTTAAACTCTCCCGTCGGGTTCACTTGCAACGCTGCGTTTTGGTGGGTTTTTGATTTTGTTTTTTGTTTTCGGGCAACGTTTTGAGAGGGTCATTTGGAGGTTCGCGGAGGGTTGTTTTTATGCAGGCTTGTCAAGGCATCGAGGTGAACGGAGGATGTTTCTTGTTTTTTCGGGAAAGGGCATGACAGGG